TTTTCTTTTTCTATATGAATTTTAGGACAAATTTTTCTAGTTCTATGAGGAATGTTGTTGGTATTTTGATTGGGATTGCATTACATCTATATATCAATTTTGCAAATACAGCCATTTTTACAATATTGATTCTGTCTTTAGGAAAAGGGACAATCTTTTCATTTTTTGATGTCTTCCTTAATATTTTCAAAGTATTATACTTTGTGTTATACAGGACTTTCACTTCTTTTGTTAAGTTAATTCCTACGTATTTAATTTTTCTTGAAGCTATTTGAATGGCTTTGCTTTCCTAATTTCTTTCTTGGTGGATTCATTATTAGTGTACAGGATTATTAACTTCTGTGTGTTGATTTTGTACCCTGAAACCTTGATGAATTTCCTTATTAGTTCTAGTAGTCTTTTGATAAATTTATTTATTTATTTAGGTTTTTCTATATAAAGGATCGTGTCCTCTGCAAATAGATAGTTTGACTTCTTCCTTTCCTATATATATTTCTTTTTCTTGCCTAATTGCTCTTGCTAATGTTTCCAGTAGTATGTTGAATAAGAGTGATGACGTAGTGGAGATCTAATTGACTTATTTCTGGTTTTATAGGAAAAGCTTTTAGTTTTTCTTCGCTTAATATGACGTTGGTAGTAGGTATGTCATAAATGGCTCTTGTCAGATTGAGATAAGGCCCTTCTATATCTATTTTCTTCAGGGTTTATAAATTTTATAAGTGATTACCTTTATAAGTGATTTTAATGGGTTTACTTTTATACCGGCTTTTAAGATTCTTTCCTTGTGTTGGACTTCTGGAATTGCTCTACAGCGTAACTTGGGGAAGTTCTTTTCCGATCATGATTATTTGGGTTTTATATTCCTCATTTATCTTTTAAATTCTTTCCCCACATTTGAAAAGTTTTCTTTTAGGATTTTTATGCCATTTGTGCTGTCTTCTGGGTTTTCAATAATTTGAATTAATATTAGATTATTATTCTTTGTGTTGCCTAGCAGCTGTTGGATCTATTTTCCATACTCTTGTTTCTAAGGTATCTCTGAAAATATGATTACCTGCATTAGCCCGGTCTTCTAGTTCTGAAATTTTGCCCTCACAAGAAAAGAAAAACATCCAGACACCCCCACAGTAAAGAAAAAGAGAAATGAATTAAAAAATATTTCTCCATGCTTTTGAATGAGTTGTTTTTTTCTCCAGGGTTTACAGTATTGGAATGACTAGATATGGGATAGAGATCATGAGTCAATACTAAGACCTTTTTTATTTAGACAGTCATGCTTGTTTTTGTGAATGCTGAATCCTGTCCCACTTTTCCTGCTAGGCATAGTTAGTGTTGTCTGCCCTGGGGCTTATTCACTCCAGCTGTCCCCAGCTTCTGTGTCCTTCTGTGTGCCCCAAGTCACAGCCTTCTCTGTCAAACTTTACAGCCTGTGGGTTTGTGAGCCCCTCTTACCCCAACTCCAGGGGCCTCTCGATCCTATACCCTGGCCTGTGGCAACTGTACAAGCCAAGGTGTATCCTTGTCTTTTTTTGTTGTTGTTGTTGTTTTGTACTGGGGATTGAACTCGGGTCCTTCTGCTTGCTTGCGGGGCAGACAGCAGAACCACTGAGCTAAATCCCTGGCCCTCAATTTATTTATTTATTTATTTATTTGTATCCTTGTCACATTGGTAGATGGGAAAAGCAAAGAAACCACTGAGCTCTGTATTGTATGAAGGTAGCAGGGCAGGGGATGGGGATAAGGGTGGGGTGTTGTTATGACTTGTGTTTAGCTGTCCCCCCAAAGCCTCATTTGGATGAGGTATGGCTTTGTTTTTCTAAGGTGCCTGAATCTAGAGTGTGTGTTTGATGCTTGGTGGGGCTAGGCCTGCGGGTACTAGGATTAAGGGTGTGAGTGCTACCCACCCTAAGTAATCTGAATAAGATAAAAGGGGCAGGAAGAAGCTGTTAAGGTCTCTTGTTGCTTTTGGTACTTCAGCTGCCATGAACTGTTGCTTCTCTACCACCCTGCCTTGGAGCCAGCCAATTATGAACTGAAATATCTATGAGCTATAAGCCAAATAAACTTTTCCCCTTTTAACCTTGGGTGTCCAGTATCTTGTCTCACCAACAAAAGAAAAGTAACACCGGTGTTGAGCAGATAACTAGACTTACTGCCGGCATTTTCAGATCCAGCTCCCTCTGAAAACCGCACATGACCAGCTTAGCCTCTCAAGAGGGCAGGACCCCTGTGTTATTCCTAGTCTGAAATTAAATTTATCAAGGGGTCTATGTGTACCTCACGATATCTCCTTGACTGTGTCTTGTCCCTGTCTCCCACCCAGTCACTGTGGTAGGGTGATCCCAGAAACTTGAAGTATAGCTATTCTACAGTTGTTCCGTAGGTTGATCTTAAACAATTAAACTTTTCCCAAAATGACTCCTGATTAACCACTCAAATATGACAGGCACTGCATTGTATTTCCTCTCCAACTCTAGCCTGCCATGTGGAAGACGTTACTTTCAGAGTAAAATCCCATGTTATTTTTGCACTTTACAATACCCAGTGTCTTTCCGTGCCTCTGGTGATGCCACCCCCATTCACTGTTTCTCCCTAGTGCTGCTGACCCTAATACACTTATCCTGTATTAGTAAGATAGGTCCCCTTCCCCAGTAGCTGAGGTTAGCTTTCCAGACTGCTTCATTCTTTTTCTATGCTGTGTGCCATTTCCCTAGCTTTTCTTTCTTTCTTTCTTTCTTTCTTTCTTTCTTTCTTTCTTTCTTTCTTCCTTCCTTCCTTCCTTCCTTCTTTCCTTCCTTCTTCCTCTCTCTCTCTCTCTCTCTCTCTCTCTCTCTCTCTGTGTGTTCTGAGATAGGGTCTCATGTGAGACTGAAAGAGACTCCATTTTGTGAATGTGGGACCAGAATGACTCCATTTTGTCCAAAATGGAGCAGTCGCCTTTGTTTTCTCAAATTAGTGCTTGAACTGGGACAAAGGACGT